CGGCTCCACGCCCGCCTGCCAGCCGCCCGCCCGCCTCCAGCCGCCGCGGTCGCTCGGCGTCTGCGCCCGTCCCAACCGGTCTGAACCCTTTAAATGTGGCCAGAACCATTGGAGGTGGGCAGGGGGGAGGCGAAGGATCAGAGATGGGCGAGGAAGCCCCTCTCCACCCGGCCCCGTGGATCTCTCTTTCCTGACTCTCCGGGGCTGAGCCTCCGCCCCTCTCGTCGGCTAAAGGCAGGAGAATCTTTTCTCCCTTCCCCGCCAAATACTCGCCATGCACGCGCGCCCCCGGACCCTGAAATGGTACTGCCCGGGCATGCATTCATTCATCCAGACCAGACCCTTGAGCTGAGGCCAGTTGCAGAGTTGGGGTGTCGGGAGCGGGGCTGCTTCAGCCTCGGCTGAGCTGAGCTGAGCTGAGCTGAGCTCCTTGCGTGAACTGCACAGCCGGGACGGAAGGCAGCCAGGACGGGGAGATGCCCGTAAACGCAGGAGGCAGCCGGGCTGAGGTCTGGCACCGAGTGCGCGAGGGCTCTTTCGATCTCTCCCGCGTGCTTCGTAAAAGGCCGAGCTGGATTCGGGCTTCAAGGGGAGGCCTCCTTCAGCCGTAGCTTGCAGAGGGAGACGAGGTCAGCCTTCAGGCGCGGTTGCACAAGGGGAGCGTTAATTTAGCGGCGCATCGTCTTTTTTCCGATTTCTTGAACAGAGCGCCTAGTTAACAGCTCTCATTTATTTGGACGAGGGAAGCCGAGAAAAGAGCTGGAAACCCCCAGACCTCGCGAAGGAAAACGGAAGATGGCTGGATACGAGCAGTGGGGTTCCCCCTTCCCACTTACACCCTTTACATCCCATCCCACTGGTGTCTTCAGCCGTCCTGGCACCGTCTCTGTGCAGAAGGCGCCCCCTCGCGGCGAAGGCGAAGCATCGGCGCTTCATAAAAGACACTAGTTGCACGGTTGTGTGTAAAACAGGGTGCCTGCGCGATTGCGTCTCCTAGCGTCCCCCCCGCCTTTTCGTCACTGGATCCCACTCGAGCACCCCGTGGCCTTTCCCCGCCACGGAGCCCTAGTCCCTTCTCACCCCCTCCCTTGCTAGGTTGCTGCCGCTGTTGGTGTACCATCCAGGGTACGTTGTCATGGCAACAGGAGCCAAGAGATGAGAGATGATGGACACCCCATGGGTGGCGGGGAGGAAGCAGAGCACGCCGGGCGATGGAGAACGGCGGGATGGATCACGGAGGGAGAAGGGAGGTCGGGTGGCTGGTGGTGTGGAGACGTTTCGCCGCGGAAGAGCGGGCAAGACGCTCCACGTCCATTTGACGCGCGCCTACACGCTCAGTCCCATCCCAGCTCTGTCCGGTATAGCACCCCCTCCCGCCCTTCCTTTTTCTCCCCCAGCATTCATTCGCTCACGATGAGTCATAAACCG